ACCTGCCCCAGCATGGCCCCCCACCCTGCACCTGCTTGGTCATCCCACCCTGCCCCAGCATGGCCTCCCCACCAGAATAATCTTTTTTGTTTCTCCAAATCAGAAGGTGCATCTCCTCCACTCTCCCACGAGAGTCACAACTCCAGCATAGCATTGTTTGCAGGTTGCTAAGGTTGCCTAGTTCTGCTCAGAGGCCTGGGATGTTGGTTTTAGTCTTTCTGTGGGGTAGAGAGAGCCCCTTATAGCTAGATCAGATGGGACAGAGACTAGATACTCTGTTTGGCAGGAGCTGGCTGTCAGAAATGAAGTGGGCCTGGTGGACAACCCTCTGAAGATTTCCTGGTTGGAGGGACAGCCCCAGGGCACAGTGGACCCCAGTGACACAGGATTATCAAAGGTAAAAAGCCAGGAGTCACCCAGCTGGGTCTGCTTGGAGTCTGGGACTTTCTTCAGCCACTTTCTCAGGCCCTTTCTTACCAAGTGCAGATAAGAATAGAATGGGGTTGGTGGGCTCACCAGCCCAGGCAGGAGGGCTGACTCCCTGCCCATCCCTGTTCTCCCTGAGGGACCAGAGCCTCCTGTCCTAGAGTGTTTTTCTCTTTCTCTCTTTCTCTCCTTCCTTTCCTTCTCTCTCTCTCTCTCTCTCTCTCTCTCTCTCTCTCTCTCTCTCTCTCTCTCTCTCTTTCTCTTCTCTCTCTCTCTCTTTCATTTTTGGGGCTTGTTTTTGTTTTTGTTTTTGGAGACAGGGTTTCTCTATGTAGCCCTGGCTGTCCTGGAACTCCCTTTATAGATCAGGCTGGCATCAAACTCAGAGATCTGCCTGTCTCTGCTTCCCGAGTGTTGAGATTAAAGACGTGCACCACCACCTGGCGGTTTTTTTATTCATTTTTTTTTTCTGGCACTGTATCAAACCCAGCGTCCTGCTCATAATTAACCCACTTGCTACCACTGAAGTGTACCTCCAGAACTACACAAAAGTTGGCCCACAACAAACATGGTGGCGCACGCCTTTAGTCCCAGCACCCGAGAGGCAGAAGCAGGTAGATTTCTGAGTTCAAGGCCAGCCTGGTCTACAGAGTGAGTTCTAGAACAGCCAGGGTTACAAAGTGAAACCCTGTCTTGAAAAACAAAAAGAAAAAGTTGTCCCTTGCTTACCCTTCATGTGTGTGTCTCCTGTTGGAGCTCTTGTCCCTACCCAGAGGGCTTCTGCCTTCTGCTCTTGGTCATGGTGTAAAGGATTTGGGGATTAGGCAACCCAGTGTTGGGTGAAGAGGCCAGAAGGCAGGTGACCAGAGCAGTGGTGTCAGGTGTCTCCACTTCCTACTCACACGGACATCTCCTCCAGAGAGAGCACCATGTCCCAGATAGAACCAGAGCACTATGTCTGCTGCTCCACTTGTGGTGAAGTGTCCCCTTTCAGCCACAGTGGGCCCAGGGCCACCTCTTAGTCCTTACAACTCCACAATAGCTTTTGTTCACTCTGTCCTTCATGGTTCAGTTTTCTAGGCTGCTTGCAGAGGTTGGGGCATAGGCTCCTGGGCACTTCTGTTGGAGGGATGGTTGCTTTGGCAGCAGGAGCTCCTGGAGCTCACTTCTCTGAAACAGCCTGGGTATCTGCTGGCATGTCCACAGCCTCTCAGAGTTATAAGGGTCTCTCTCTGCCAAGTTACCTGTCCCTGTACCTGCCTGAGAAATTGGGAGCTTCTGGGGAGTGTGCCTGTCTTAGTTACTTTTTGTTGCTGAGACAGTTTTGTCACCATGACCAAGGCAACTTACCAAGGAAAGCATTTGATTTGGGGGCACATGGTTCCAGAGGTTATAGAGTCCATGATCATCAGGGTAGGGGGGATGTCAGCAAGCAGCATGCTGGAGCAGTAGCTGAGAGCTGATATGCTGATAACAACCACAAGGCATAGAGCCAGCTAAACCACAAAGCCCACCCCCAGTGGCACACCTCCTCCAACAAGGCCACACCTGCTAATCCTTCCCAAACAGTTCCACCAACTGGGCACCAAGCATTCAAGTCTATGGGGGCCATTGTCATTCAGTCATCACAGTGTCCCAGACCCTGGATAGAGGGGGGACATAAAGTGGTCTAGGCCAGCTCAGGATCTTGACTTAAAATAAGCCTGTTCCTCCACCATTCAGTTCCAGCATTCTACATCCCAGGTCACACTCTGTAGGTTGTGTTAGAAAACCTTTATTCATTGCCTCCTGTGTCCAGTGGAGCCTCTCGGCTGGGCATCTCTGCACAGGAGCAGGGAAGATGTCATAGACATGGCTCTGTGGAGACAGGGTGTAACATAGTGTCCCTCCACCCTCCTTTCTGACCTGGGGACCAGACCCACATGGTCCAGTGCATCTCGATTCTGGCTTCAGATGTGGCCAAGCCACAGACTGGGCAAGGCAGAGCTCCCCAGGCCTGGTGGAGGGTTCTAGAGCTGCTTGGTTCAGTGTCCTTTCCCTGCTCTTGTAGTCCCCCTGCTGGAAAGAAGACTGCTATTTTTATAGCCTTTCCCAGAGGCCCCCATACATAATACTGTGGGAGTTCCCAGAACACTTCTCTGCAGCCTGGTGGTTCCTGGAGCTGCTTCCTCCCTCACAGAGATTGCTTGCAGTCTCTGGGCTGCTGGAGCCTTGTGCTGTTTTACTAATGATTGTTGGGCACTTCTCCTGCTTTTTCCTCTGCCGGCCTCTCCAGCTCTGTCAACCTCTCCTGCACTTGAAGCTCAGGGCCAGTGTCTTCCTTTCCTTACCCTTGCTTCTGGCATTTCCACACTAGTGTCTGGTCAGCACCGTCCAGTGGACTTTGGTTTATTTTCTGTCGTCCAGTATGGTGACTATGAACAGGTGTGATTGGCTGTTGGTTTAAAATATGGCTAGGTGGGCTGGAAAGATGGCCCATCAATTAACACACACTGCTCTTCCAGAGGACCTGAGTTCAATTCCCAGCAACCATATTAGGTGACTCACAACTACCTGGAACTCTAGTTCCAGGGGCATCTAACACCTTTGGCCTCTGTAGGCACCAGTATACACTTGGGTACATGCACACACACACACACAAAAAAAAATATTTTTAAAAACATCCTTAAAATGTGGCTAGAGTGATGGCATGTGACTTGTTTTGGTAGAGTACTTGCTTATCATGCATGAAGCCCTGAGTTTGATCCCCAGCCCCACTGGGTGTGGTGACACATACCTGAAATCCCAGCACTCAGGAGGTGGAGGTAGGAGTGTCATGAGTTTAAGGCCACCCTCACTACATAAGAGACCTTGTCTCAGAAATAAACAAAATTGGCTAGGGTGACTGAATTTTTCTTTCTTTTTGTGTGTGTCTGTATGGTATGTGTGGTTTTTTTTTTTTTTTTTTTTTTTTTTTTTGGGGGTGTTTTTTGGTGTTGTTGGTTTTTTTTTTTTTTTTTTTGTGGGTGTTGTTTTTGTGTTGGTGTTTTTTTTTTTTTTTTTTTTTTTTTTTTGTGCGCGTGCGCGCGAGTATGGGCATGCAAGTGGAGGCCAAAGGGTGATGTCAGGTATCTTCCTCAAGTGCTCTCCTTTCTGACGAAGGGGCTCTTGCTGGACCTGGAGTCTGCAAATCTGACTAGTCTAACCAGCCAGCCTGTGCCTGGGATCCCTGGTGCCTGCATCCTGCACGCTGGAATTCCAGACAGGCTGGCTCACCTGCACAGCTTTTTTATGTGGGCACTGGAGGTCTGAACTCAGGCCCTCCTGCTCGCACAGCAAGCACCGTATCCACTGAGCCATTTCTCTAGCCTCTGGGACTGAACTTTCAATTTTCTTTTACTTCAATTAAATCAGTCATAAGGAGTGAGTGAGTGGCTACTGTCTATCTCTGGCCTCTCTGGCCTCCCGCTTTCCTCTTAATCTCAGTCAGATTACTTCTTCCTAGATGAGTCTCATGATTGCTCTGTTGACAGTGGATTCAGAGGCTGGTGCCAGGCACTGTCTGTCCTGCCCAGTCTGAGTCCTACTCTCTGACTTGCCCCATGCCACCCTGTGTCTCCACTGACCTCTGACCGGTTCCTGTGGTTGCAGGTGTGGCTTTCTTTTCCTGACCGCCCAGCTTCCTTCAGGGCTCCTTCCAGAAAGTGACCCCATCCATTCCCAGCTGGCTTCTGTCCCTTCACTCTGGGTGCATAGGAGGACTGATCAGCAGCCAGAGGGCAGGCTGAACTCCCCCTTAATCCACACTGTGCCTTTCTCTCCTAGGCACCCCAGGCTCCAGTCACCCCAGTTCCCTCTGCCCTCTGGGGGGGGGTCAGAAGTGGGGCTCATTAGGGAATTGCTCCCTTAGCATCTGTAGGACTTCCTCCAGAAGTGAAATCCCCAGATCCACTTTGAAGGAAAAGAAAGGGTCATTGAGGTCTGGAGTAGGTGTCCTTGGGAAAGGGGGAGTGTCCAAAAGGTCCTCATCTGAGCATCGGTGGAGGGGGCCTGTCAGGGAGATTGCTGAAGGCAGAGTGGCCGAGTAGGCAGTGGTGTAGTTTGCTGGGGGCTCCAGAATGTTGGGGCAACTGGAGCTCTCTCGGTAGAGACGCGGGGGCTTGGGTGGGGCCAGCAGGGTGGCTCGGGGCTGCTCATCTCCCCACAAGGGCAGACGCCGGCCGTCTGGCCTCCCTTGAAGTTCCCGGATGACTTCTCGGTTGCTGTACTCCTCGTGGTCACCACCAGCAGTGCTGGCCTGGCTAAGTATGCTGCCCTGTCGCCGCAGTCGCCGAGGCCGCCCCAGGGTCATTCTCTTGAAGAAGGAGGAATTGCGGAAGGAGCCTGTCCGCCAAGTCTCCATGGAGCTCCTCAGTCAGCCAGCAGATCTGGCATCTGAGAAATCCCACAGAGGGGCTCAGCAGCAGCTTGTGACCATTTGCTAGAGTGCTGGAGGCCAGGAAGCGGGGAGACACCCCTCAAGGGCTAGAAGCAGAAGCTGTGGGTTTCTCCTCAGCGTGGTCCCTTGTCTTGTATCTTGGATGGTGACACAAGACTAGCAGGGGGGAGATTTTGTCCGGGAGATCAGAGTGCTGGGAGTTCCCACCTAGGTAAGAGTGGCCTGGTTACTGATGGTCGGCATGTAGGAAAAAACCAAAGGAAGCGGCAGTACTTACGGAGCAGAACAAGGCTGAGGGCTGGTGGGCAGGGTTGGACCTCCACAGGGGAGCAGCAGTCCTACTGGCAGGCAGGCAGCCGGCAGCTGGTGATTCCTGGCATGTGCCGATCTCCTGGCAGTGGAGGGCTGTGCTCTCTCTGCCAGCATCTGGGGACTGATTAGTGGCTTGGCTGTCTGTGCCTGCCGCGTGTGGTAGAGATGTGTTTTGTTTTCAGCTGACTCAGTCAGGTGGGAAGCTGGTTTCATACTCTGAGCTAATTGCACCATCAGCCGGCTGAGATTGGGGCAGCTGGGACCAACACCCCAGGGCAGCAGGACGCTTCAGATTCCTCTGGGGACTGGTCTGGGGACAGCCCTGCTTGGTGTGTCACCAGGTTACTTCCTTTCTAGTCAAAGCTCCACTGTGACCCCAGTAGGCCATCCTGGCGCTTTAGCCCCAGATGTCTCTGGGAAGAGCCCAGGGAGCTAGTGTTAATTGAAAGGCAACTTTCGGAGCAATTGTTGGGAAGGAAGAGAGGAGACCTGCCGGTGTGGGTGACTCAGCCCTTGGGCAGGTTGACAGGCCCTCATTAGCCAGGCCACAGGAATGGTGGGGAAGGATGTGGAGGGTGTGTTAACAGGGAACAGCCCCATGCCTGTAAAGGGCTTGCTCCTCCCAAGGTGCTGGGGGCATGCCAGGGGTGACTTGAAGTTTTCTTGGTAGAGCAACATGAACTTGCGGAAGGAGCAGTGCCTTCCCCACAGCTGGGACATCAGTGTGGCCTCTCAGCTTTTGGCTCTCTTCTTCACCCCAGAAGGCCAGCGCCCTGCTGCTCCTTTGATGCTCCAGTCCTTTCCCTCTGGCTCGTGGGCCTCCTTTGGGGACCCTCTTCTAGAGGGGGCCAGGATGTGTGAGGCTGCCACAAATTGCCAGTGGTTGGGGAGAGGGCAGCTGGAAAGGGGTATTCCTAGGGGTGGGGGAGGTATAAGGACAGGGGACTAGACTGGGTATCACTTCCTGTTTATCTGCACCCCAGACTCCAAACAAATTAGCCAGGGCCTGGCAGCCTAACTTCAGCCACTCCCATGTTATTCCCCGGGTCACTGACTTCCAAGCCTTCCACCAGCATGGGGTGCCCCCAGCAGAACTCCACAACTCTTTTGTTACTGATGGGCCACCACACTTGCAACCACTGTCCTGGCTTGCCTCATGCCAACTCCGGGGGTTCTCCCACCCCTCTATCAGCTGTAGGATTATAAGTGATATCACAGCTCCAGCTTTGCTAAGGGAGGAAACGGTCTGATTCATACCGTTGGCCCTGACAGACTGTGGGCTTGGCAGCACAGTGCGCTGCTGTAGGGCTGCCTCTTCTCCACAGCCTTGGCCCATTGGGGGCTGTCTGTTGTTCTTGGGTTATTAAAGTGTACCCCTCCTCACTCCCCTGCATGTCTAGCAAGGTCATAAAAGAAGGGCAAGGACCCTGCCCTATAGTACCCAGGTTTTGTGTCTTTATGAGGCAAGCGGGCTCATGCTTGCTTTTCTCAGCTAGAGTGGGGCCCTTTGAAGCTGTGTGGAGGGCAAGGCACCCTTCTATATCCTCAGCAGGAGCCAGACCACAGGGGGCAGTGCTCTGGTGTGTCCAGCGGAGTCTAGAGAACCCCTGCACCTCACACATCCTCCTCTGTTGGAACCTGCCAGGCGGAAGCCATGGGTAGAGGAGAGGGTGTCAGATAAAGTGATTCACAAGGAAGGACTGAGCCAGAGCAGGGTGTGGATAGATGTGACGTCCTGGGTAAGCGGAGACTCGGGGAGAAGCAGCCTGCGGAGCACAGGCCTGCTTTATCTGAAGCTCCTGGGGGAGTTGCAATCCAAGGTGTCTGGGTCCTTCCTCTGCCCTTCTTCCTCTTAGGCTTTTAAACTTGGCTCTGTCTAGACCCTATACTGAGTCTGTAATCGTGGGGCTGTGCCCGCCAGCCTGACTTCTCTGTCCCTTCTGTCCCCAGGGCTCAGTGCTGTCAGAAAGGGACTATGAGAGTCTTGTCATGATGCGCATGCGCCAGGCAGCTGAGCGCCAGCAGCTGATTGCCCAGATGCAGCAGGAAGATGAGGGGCAACCCACGTAGCCCCGGTAACAGCTCTCCCACCCCACACCCTTTTCTGAATCATCACCAATAAACTTTTTTTAATTAAAGAAACAAAAACCAGTCTCCTTTTCTTTGTCTTGTGCTGGGCTTTATCTGAGAGAGCTCCACTCAGGCCAAGGGCTTCACCCATGGATAGGGACAGACCAGTAAAGAATGTCACATTTCAAGAGTCACTGCACAGCAAAGCTGAGGAACATCACTCATGAGAGCCTTTTATTGGCTTGGACTCGCTGTGCAGGATCCAGGGAGCCTCCTCTGGGTAGCCTGCCCTCAGCACATGGCCCAGAGCCAGAGCCAGGGTCAGACATCTAGCAGGGGGAGCTGAAAGCACCAGGGCAAGGGCCTGCTATGCCCAACCAACTGGAGCAAGGCTCCTTAGGCTGTTCACAGCCCATCAGTGTTGGATAAGGAAGCTGACAATTTGGAAAGAGATAGGCAAGGCAGACAATGTTGCAAGGATTAGGGGTCAGGGCACATGCTAGGTCCTCCAAAGAGTAGGTTCCCTGTCCACAGGTCAGCTCAACCAGGTCATTCCTTGTGCAGGCACCACACCAACGTCTGGCCCACCCCTGTCATGCTCAACACACGGAAGCCTTTGAGTTCCAGCTTGTCCAGGACTATGCGAGGAGGGTCGTTGACATAGTATTCATAACTGTAAAGAAACCAGGAGAACAGCATGAGAAGACACAGTGCAGGCACCCATACAAAGCCAGGATCTATTCAGAGCCAGGCCTGTTTGCTGGGCACTGTCCGGCAACAGGCTAAATGCTCACCCTCTGTTCTGTCCCTTGCTACACTTTGTTTTATTCTCCCCAGTCTGATGAAGGTTCCATTACTGTTCCTGTCGATACGTGAGAAAACAGGCTGGTTAGCTCTGCCAGCCATGAATAGCAGGCCACATGGTAGCCCATACTGTGTGTGTTAGTCTAAGTACCCCACTAGGCAGTCTGCCCTCTTTGGGACTCGGGCCCTCTCTAACCGCCCTGCAATCCTGAAGCACCAAATAAGGTTAGCGCCTGATAGCATCTGGATCCATGTGCCCTTTGCTGGCACAGAAAGTCTGATTTCCCTAGAGTTGTAAAAAGTGCAAGGTAGATAAGAGGCCCAAGCCCAAAGCTTGGCATCTTGAGGCAAATGCCTCATGGCAAGAGATGGCATTGGCGCCTCCTTGATTTGATTAGAGGCCGTTTGTCTTCCTCCCCTTTCTGCACTCGGGACTCTGGCAATTCTGAGGGTCCCTGAACCACTTGGTTTTCTTCCTCATAGTAGGGAGAGTGTGTTGGTTTGAATGAGAATGGCCCCCACAGGCTTGTATAATTGGATATTTGGTCTCCAGCTAGTGGAACTGTTTTGGGAAGCATTAGAAACTGTGGCCTTGTGAGGAGGTGTGTCACTGGAGGTGGGCTTTTAGTTTTCAAAAGGCCACTCCAGGCTTCTGCTTGCAGATCAGTTGTGAGCTCTCAGCTACTGCTCCAGTACCATGCCTGCTGCCTGCTGCCTGCTGCCATGCTCCCTGCATCTGGGTTATGGGTTCACTCAATGCAGTCCCCAATTAAATGCTTTCTTTTATAAGTTGCTATGGTGGCTTGAATGAAAAGAGCCTCCAAAGCCTCATATATTTGAATGCTTAGTTACCAGGGAGTGGAACCGTTTGAGAAGGATTAGAAGGATGAGGAGGTGTAGCCTTGGAGGAAATATGTCACTAGGTGTGGGCTTTGACATTCAAAAGCCCATGACAGGCCCAGTCTTTCTCTCTCTCTCTCTCTCTCTCTCTCTCTCTCTCTCTCTCTCTCTCTCTCTCTCTCTCTCTCTCTCTCTCTTTCTCTCTCTCTCTCTCTCTGCTACTGCTCCAGCACATGTCTTCAGCATGCCTTGTTCCCCTACCACGATCATCATGGACTAACCTTCTAAAAGTGTAAGCAAGTCCCCAATTAAATGCTTTCTAAGAGTTGCCTTTGGTCATGGTGTCTCTTTACAGCAATAGAATTCTAAGACACAGAATGAGGAAGCAGGAAGGGAAGCGGTGGTGTTTAGACACCCAGATGATGTGAAGGATGCCAAATGCCAGGCAGCCGGGAGCTGTGTTACTCAGCCAGCCCTTAAAGGTGAAGCCTATCTTTGCTGATAGGATCCAATTTAGAGCAGAGAGGACAAAGCAAGGAACAGTTTTTTTCTAGAACCCCAGGCTGAGGACAGGCTGCCCCAGACTTCCACTAAGGATGAGCGGTGAAGGAAGGCTGGGGCGTGTGGGAAACTCACTAAGCTTAGGGCCCTGTGGTGGATTACAGATGAGAGCAAGCCCTACAGTAGCTCGATGACGGTTGTGTGAAGGGAAAAGTAGGCGGCACTGCCAGGGAGACAGCAGGTGCTGAAGCATACCTGCCACTACTTACAAGTTATTTCCCAGGACACTTCTCTTTGAGGCCCCCAGGTGCTGCATGAGCTCTGGATCGGAATGCTCATCACCCACCATGGTGGGGCCCACCTCCTGCAAGGTAAGCCACAGGAGCTGCTTAGCTGGCTGCCAGAAGCGGACAGTCCTCCTTGTTCCCCTCCCCACGGCCCTGCGAAAGCTATCAAGCTATCGGTAAAGGGGAAGCAATACTGAAGGCCAAGGGAGGTGCTGCACAAGCTAAGAGGAGAGCAGAGTGAGTCCACCCTGACTTCCTAAACTGCTGCCTATTGGCACCTTCAGGCCTGGTGCCACCAGTCATGTTTCCTGTGTATTGGCGTCACCTGGAGAACGAGAGAAATGAACGTGCATGTCCACATAAAAATTTATACACAGGCATGTAAACTTACCAATTTACAGCCACCACCAAAAAGAAAAACAAAAGGACAACAACAAAGTGTGTTCCTAGCAGAACTACCCGTAACAGCCAGAATGTGGAAATAATCTTGCAATGTTTGCCAGCTGATGAGCGCAGAAGTAAAATGTGGCAGGTCTGAGCCCTGCAGTGCTGGCACACACCTTTCATCCCAGGACTCCCGAGGCAGAGGCCGGTGGATCTGTGAGTTTGAGGTTAGACTGATCTACAGAACGAGTTCCAAGACAGCCAGAGCTATCACAGAGAAATCCTGTCTCAAAAAACAAACAAAAACAAAACAAAATGGCAAGCCTGCAATCCTAATAGAAAAATGGGGGCAGCTTGCTTGGAGTATAGCCAAGGTGAGACTGTCGTGGAAAAAAAAAAAAAAGTGGTATAGCCTTTTGATAGAATCTTATTCGGCAGGAATGACATCCTGATACATGTAACAATATAAATGGGCTTTGAAAACATGGACATGAAGGCAGCCAGGCCCAGGAGAACACACAGGCTAACATATAGCTAGAGCTCATAGACACATGTTAAAATTGATTCCAGTGATGGTGCGCAGCTCTGAATATACTAAAAACAAAACCCCTCCCACTCATTTTCAACCAATGAGTGTTTTGGTTGCAGTGCATATCAATAAAACTATAACTTAGAGAGCCTAGTCTG